CTCAGAGACGGGAGGGGGGGGGGGGGGAGTTTTATACAAAAAATTGAGCTCATCCTGAAGTCCATGTTTAAAAGTTCAATGAGGAGCCCAGTTTTATGGTCTGTGACCTAACCGATTAATTCTGATCATACGAGACCACGTTCCTGTTTTTCTTTCACCGCAGGCACTCTCCGAACTTCGAGCGACTCTCCCTCGCTGAGCCGGGATGACCCTTCCAAGAAGCAGAAGAGACATAAAGACAAACACAAAGCGAAGAAGGAGCACAAACGCAAGAAGGAGAAGGTGAGGCGGGTCCGGGTGATGAAATCCGAAGGTCTCGTGTGGACAATGTCATTGGTGGTCCAAACCTGTCAATGAAGAAGCAACCTACTATGGGCCGGCTTCTCAGTCCACAAAGATAATGCTGTCTTTGCTTTTTTTTTAACGAGACTTCAGCTCCAGGTATCGCCACACTGATTATTTATGGTTTGTTTCCTGTGTCTAATACAGAAGAAAAAGCACAAGAAGCAAAAGCACAAAAATAAACATAAAAATAAAAAAGAAAACGTCAACGGCACAGACTCTGAAGATAGCAGCGCGGATCTCAGTGACGCGGAGGAAGCAGACAAGATTACACCCAGGGAGCTTCTGAAGAGGTAAGTGGAACGCCATAGGCTCTTAGAGGGCATGCTCTTTAAAGGCTGAAAATCATGTTTCCAAGCCAAGTGTTGGTGTCCTGCCCCCTTTAGATTGATTCTTATAGATTGTATGAGATGACGACCATTGCTTAATTATGGCCTTGTTGGACGGGCAGAGACATACAGTAGGTAGTGTGTGAAAATCTGCTCATGGAGGTCAGCCAAAAATTTGCAAGGTGGTTATAGCCCTCAGGACAGGAAATAAGCACAAGATGGGCGCCCCCCGGAAACGCGTTAACGTCACTACACATTGGTATCGCCTAGTGGACATCTTACTGCCTGTCAGCTCTTATCCCATGGCTGTGTGATTCTTATGTTTTGTGAGTACTATTCGTTTTTTTCACTTATATCTACTGAAATAACATTGATCTGCACCAGGAAAGGCGCCCCTCTTGTGCTTATTTCCTAGATTCTCAGCTTTCCCGGCTTCTTTGGGGTAGCGTCCTGCAGTATGCCTAAGAGGATTTCCCACTAAGGATTGACAGTCCGTGGCGCTTCATTGCTTCTACTTAGTTACTGGTCCGAAAGGACAGCAATGGGGAAGGAGTAAAGTAAATTTAACTATTGATTAGATTTCACTTTAAGAAAAGCTAAAATGTGATAGTCATGGGGGGGTTTAAAGCCCAACTTCGGGGTGAGCTACCCCTTGGTGGAATACCGACTTTCTTTAGAGCACCGCACTGTCCCCAGCGGTCACATAACCTGCAGGATGCTCTTCCTATTCCGGCCTCCTGCTGTGACATGTGGTCCTCAGTGACGTGTGCTCATTCTACTGTGTCCCCAGTGGGTCTGTCTGTGATGCCCGGGCTCACAGGAACTGTGGACCTCAGGGAGGAGTTGCTGTGGGTAACAGCACCAGAATGGAGTTAAATAGCTATTTTATTTATTTAAAGCTCAAATTGCACTTTTATATTTTTAAAAGAAGAACTCCGGGTGTTTTAAAAATGAGGTGCTCGATTTGGACTAGGGTCTAAGATACACTCGCCTGATCCTCGGTGGTGCCCACTCACCTTTCTTCCACTTCACTCGAGCAGTGGAATGTCCTTCAGACTTGCATTAGACATGAGGACGTCAGCTGTACATAGCCCGGGGAAGAAGAGGATGTGGGGACCGGTCTAGCACCAAGGTGGGACTGAGGATTAGGAAGTATATCTTTTAGATTTTAGTCCCTAGACCACAACAAGCACTTAACCCTTACAGAGCAGGGGTAGCCTCACTGCAAGGGTTCATTTTTAAAATGCCCGGCATTTGTTTTTTAGTTTTTATTATTTTTAATATGCTTTTTAAGCTTTTTTTCATTTATTTGTTATTTTACAATCGCATCTTCAATCCGCCCATTATCCAGGATTCACATAACACTATGTGGGGTTTACTAAAGACACAGCACAGTGCAAAACTGTTTTCAGGCTGTCTCTCTCTGATTGAAATCTCACACACAGCTGTCTGGCAGAGAAATCCGAAGGTCTCGTGTGGACAATGTCATTGGTGGTCCAAACCTGTCAATGAAGAAGCAACCTACTATGGGCCGGCTTCTCAGTCCACAAAGATAATGCTGTCTTTGCTTTTTTTTTAACGAGACTTCAGCTCCAGGTATCGCCACACTGATTATTTATGGTTTGTTTCCTGTGTCTAATACAGAAGAAAAAGCACAAGAAGCAAAAGCACAAAAATAAACATAAAAATAAAAAAGAAAACGTCAACGGCACAGACTCTGAAGATAGCAGCGCGGATCTCAGTGACGCGGAGGAAGCAGACAAGATTACACCCAGGGAGCTTCTGAAGAGGTAAGTGGAACGCCATAGGCTCTTAGAGGGCATGCTCTTTAAAGGCTGAAAATCATGTTTCCAAGCCAAGTGTTGGTGTCCTGCCCCCTTTAGATTGATTCTTATAGATTGTATGAGATGACGACCATTGCTTAATTATGGCCTTGTTGGACGGGCAGAGACATACAGTAGGTAGTGTGTGAAAATCTGCTCATGGAGGTCAGCCAAAAATTTGCAAGGTGGTTATAGCCCTCAGGACAGGAAATAAGCACAAGATGGGCGCCCCCCGGAAACGCGTTAACGTCACTACACATTGGTATCGCCTAGTGGACATCTTACTGCCTGTCAGCTCTTATCCCATGGCTGTGTGATTCTTATGTTTTGTGAGTACTATTCGTTTTTTTCACTTATATCTACTGAAATAACATTGATCTGCACCAGGAAAGGCGCCCCTCTTGTGCTTATTTCCTAGATTCTCAGCTTTCCCGGCTTCTTTGGGGTAGCGTCCTGCAGTATGCCTAAGAGGATTTCCCACTAAGGATTGACAGTCCGTGGCGCTTCATTGCTTCTACTTAGTTACTGGTCCGAAAGGACAGCAATGGGGAAGGAGTAAAGTAAATTTAACTATTGATTAGATTTCACTTTAAGAAAAGCTAAAATGTGATAGTCATGGGGGGGTTTAAAGCCCAACTTCGGGGTGAGCTACCCCTTGGTGGAATACCGACTTTCTTTAGAGCACCGCACTGTCCCCAGCGGTCACATAACCTGCAGGATGCTCTTCCTATTCCGGCCTCCTGCTGTGACATGTGGTCCTCAGTGACGTGTGCTCATTCTACTGTGTCCCCAGTGGGTCTGTCTGTGATGCCCGGGCTCACAGGAACTGTGGACCTCAGGGAGGAGTTGCTGTGGGTAACAGCACCAGAATGGAGTTAAATAGCTATTTTATTTATTTAAAGCTCAAATTGCACTTTTATATTTTTAAAAGAAGAACTCCGGGTGTTTTAAAAATGAGGTGCTCGATTTGGACTAGGGTCTAAGATACACTCGCCTGATCCTCGGTGGTGCCCACTCACCTTTCTTCCACTTCACTCGAGCAGTGGAATGTCCTTCAGACTTGCATTAGACATGAGGACGTCAGCTGTACATAGCCCGGGGAAGAAGAGGATGTGGGGACCGGTCTAGCACCAAGGTGGGACTGAGGATTAGGAAGTATATCTTTTAGATTTTAGTCCCTAGACCACAACAAGCACTTAACCCTTACAGAGCAGGGGTAGCCTCACTGCAAGGGTTCATTTTTAAAATGCCCGGCATTTGTTTTTTAGTTTTTATTATTTTTAATATGCTTTTTAAGCTTTTTTTCATTTATTTGTTATTTTACAATCGCATCTTCAATCCGCCCATTATCCAGGATTCACATAACACTATGTGGGGTTTACTAAAGACACAGCACAGTGCAAAACTGTTTTCAGGCTGTCTCTCTCTGATTGAAATCTCACACACAGCTGTCTGGCAGGCAGATGGAGAGGGGGGCGGAGTCACTACCCTGACTTTCACTTGGAAGAGTAGATTGAAGCTTGAGTTATAGAACTCTTTTTTTTTTTTTTTTCCTTCAAA